TGTGTGTGTGTGTGTGTGTGTGTGTGTGTGTGTGTGTGTGTGTGTGTGTGTGTGTGTGTGTGTATGTGTGTGTGTGTGTGTGTTGGATACTACAGATTAGCAACATCTGTATACTCATCGTCTGTGTACACTCATTCTCGGTATTCCTGTATATGAAGCCATTTGATGTAAGTGCTGCTAATTTCCTTCCCACCACCACAACTATGTTATTTATAGCGATTCCAGCGAGAAAGCATAGGGAATGTTCCGAGGATGCCTTACTTAGTAAACAGTAACATTGAATTAAAGAAGCAACTTCTCAGGTAAGATCAAGAAAGACAAGTCACACCACATGCGCCAGTGAGAATGACGTATCTTGACCTCCATGAGTTGATGAAGCCCGAGTGAAGTTCTAAGATTTCAGGGGAAGTTCACTTTGGGCCAAACTGTTGGAAATAGGGAAGTACGAAATAGCACTAGATGAGGGAAAGAAATGAAAACTGGCAACATTTGTCACATACAGCAAGCGGTAGAAAAGTGTCGCGATGATATACAAACTGCGGCGAATAATGAGTTCTGCGCAGACAAATTGAGCAGAGTATTAACATTGAAAATAGGGAGAGATGGAGATTGATAAAAGTAAAAAATAGTATGAAGTCAGGGAGTGAGAAAACGGTGGTCGTGCAAATCGTCTGAGTAGAAAAGAGAGGACAGAGTGTCAACATGAAATGCGTTTACCCGTTTTGTTACAGCCTCTCAAAGTAGCTCCCTGCTTAGGTGGAGTATGACTTCTCTTCTGTGTATTATCTCGCCTTAGCCCTCGACTGACTTGGAGATACTGCTAGACTTAGGTTGATGATTCTATAAGTGAGTGAACTCGTGGAATGTGTCTCGTAGACACAATCACTGATAGCCATGGCGCTAATGGTCTTAAATAAGTAACGTTTTCCAGGCGGAAGGACCGGTCAAAAGCTTTCGTGGCTTAGTAGCAAATGTCCAGTGTTGGTGGCAAGCGAAAGAATCCGCTGAATTTGAGTTTGCCAGCAGCGGTCAAAGAAAAGGGTGATTTGAGGAGGGATGGGACAAAAGACAGAAGCACTTTCTCACTGGAAGACCAAATCAAGCAAATGACACTCACCGAACCACAAAAACAGCGGATGCAAGAATGGATTAAGGAGAAGAAACTTGTTAGTTAGTTAGTTTGGTTATCTAATTAATTGGTATCAATTTTTCTGCTTCATATTTTAGAAATGATTTTCAATTCATTTGTTGCAGGTACCACTGAATGAATTGAATGAGGATATGTTGGAGAAGATGTGTGAATTGGGACATGGTAATGGTGGTGTTGTAAGTAAAGTAATGCACAAGCCGAGTAAGATAATCATGGCCAGAAAGCTAGTTCACCTAGAAGTGAAGCCGTCTGTGAGGTCGCAAATCCTGAAGGTACAAGATGATCGCTTCTTTTCTAAGATCTGTAAATCGCACTGACATGGCTTCAGCGTTTTCTCTTGTTTACCTTCCACGGCCCTTTTGCTTGCATATTTGGTGAAGAAAAAGAAACTTTAGAATGCTCTGGAATATGTTATATCGCAAAGTTATGTTAAGTCTATTTGGTGAGAGACTTGTGAGCTTTATTTCTACCCGAAAAAAATCAAATATTTCAGGAGCTAGATGTGCTGAATAAATGTAATAGTCCATATATTGTTGGGTTTTATGGCGCTTTTACTGATAATAACGATATATCAATATGCATGGAGTACATGGATGGGTTATCATTGGATGTTGTTTTGAAAAAAGTTCCTTTTTCTCGTTATTCAAAAACTTTTTGACTCCATATGTTCCAGAATTTATTCACTTGACATTAGATGGAAGAAATAAACAAAGTTTCTCATAAATTTGAATTTCCGAGTGTCATCACTTCATGTTTTTTTTCAATACTTGTTTTTATTAATATTTCTTTAAACCCCTAATATTTTGTTTTCAGGTTGGTAAACTAAAAGAATCGCGTGTAGGTCGAATTGCTGTTGCAGTTATTCGCGGACTGTCGTACTTGAAAGATGAACATAGAATACTACATCGAGGTCTAACCATATTTTTTTGTCTCTGTCAAGCCATGAAACTGCAGTGCATTACATCATAAGGAAATAGATCAGGACAGAGATTTCCCGCAGATTTCGTAATTTTCGTTTCAGATGTTAAGCCATCAAATATATTGGTTAACAGTCATGGAGAAATAAAATTATGTGATTTTGGTGTTTCGGGCATGTTAATTGATAGCATGGCTAATAGCTTCGTCGGTACTCGGTCGTATATGGCGGTAGGTCACTTCGATTGGACTCTTCATGATTAGTTTACGAGAGGTTAATTTATAAATATCCGATTTGATTTTCACTTGCTTAGTAATAAAAAAATCACGAATTCTCTTTCCGCTGGTTTTGCGACTTTAAGTTATAATTTTTAATCAAAATTAATCATTTCCAGCCTGAACGATTGACAGGAAGCCATTATAATGTACAGTCGGATGTTTGGAGTTTTGGTTTATCGCTTGTAGAATTGTCAGTCGGACGATATCCCGTACCGGCGCCAACAGCACGAGAATATGCTGAACTTTTCAACATCCCGGAGGAAGAAGTAGAGTTTCCAGAAGGCACGATGCCACCATCGTCCGCCACTCTGTCCTCACCGAGAACAATGGCAATTTTCGAACTACTTGATTATATTGTTAATGAGGTAATCTTAATATCAGGATTGATTCCAGTTTTTAGTTGAGGAGCCTTTAGTTGGAAGGCCTGTAATATTTAAGAGTGACAGTTCCGTGAAAGCAAAATGAGCGTGAGAAAGATTTCGAAACTTGTTTACTATGCATAAGGATTAATCCTTTATTTTCTCGTAATTTTACAGATTAGAATCGAACAATTCAAAGAATTTTTGTCCTAAAAACTTTCCAGGCACCACCATTGCTGCCAAAGAATATATTCAGTGATATTTTTATCGATTTCGTTGGAAGATGTGTTAAAAAGAATCCCATTGAAAGAGCCAACTTGAAAACATTAAGCAATCATGAATTTTTTTAAAACATGCGAATACAGAGGACGGTGATGAATTTGCACAGTTCATAAAAGAAACTATAGGGATGAGTCATCATCCATAGTTTTTTTAAAGCTTTCAGTTTCATATCCTCAGCACCGTCCTGAATCAACTTACGGACTAACTGTGGTCCTTTGTGCCTTTCTGAATCAATTACAACACTTTCCGGCGTTTCTCTTGCTGACATTCCGAAAATTAGCTGAGATTTTATCTTGTGAATATTCATAAACTTTTTTAGCTTTTAATAAGGGAACATTCGAATAGCAGCACTGTTTCCTCTTTTTTTTACCAGAAATTTCATTCATTTTGTGAATTTAATCCAGTTTCATCCATTTTGTGCTTACAAGAATTTTTCTGTATGCTGTCAGTAGTTACAGGTTGCGATAGATTGGAAAGTACATAGTAACAGGAGTCCTTGTTATAGGCATACAAATTGGTTTGTTTTTCCCACCATTCAGCGAGATAAAATTGCTTAAAAAGCCACAAAATCATTTCAAGACAGAAGAATTATTTTGATTGCGTTTTCATTCTAGGAAATTGTTAAATTACAACAAGCTTTATATTTTGAATTTCAGCAGCTTTGTGTTTGTCTCTAATATAGTAATTTGATAAACAATGACTTTACTTTTAAAATTCGCTTGTGAAACTGCTATTTCCAAATAACAATAGAAAGCTAAGATAAAAATATAAAAATCCAGTCATTATCATAATAGTTGAATAAATTCAATTCATGCGTAGTTAGGTAACAGAGGAATCGTGCCCACGCATTGTGCACGAAATGCGATTGACCCTCATTTTTTGGTGGCTTTGAATTACCTTGGGCACACGGATTTTTGCGAGTGACAGTTCAAGGATGTTTAAAAAGATCCCCTAACCCCAATATTTGAAGAAAAGTAGCAAGTCCACATTTTTATTACATTTCAAGGAATGTGACACATCAAATATATTCATTGTTCAGGGTGGAAGTACTGAAGTGAACTCCTCTTCAATTTTAAATATGAAACAAAAGGGAATTTGAAGCTGTCGAGAATTTCGACAGTGACGGTGTATGGCCTTACTGCCGTCGCGTTTAATCTGTGAATAATTTCTGGACTCTTTTCAACCGTTTTTTACGTATAAGTCCCAGTTTTATCTGTCAATCGTTCTTCGACTTTTCCGACACGGGGTCTTCAGAAGTTTCTATAAAAAATTTATTCTTATCCTAGACAAGACATGTAAAAAACTTCCGCGTCTCCCACAAAACTATGAATAAAAATATGATGCAGTAAGATTTATCATTGTTTATTCCTAATATAACATTAAAGGTTAAGGAAATAAACTGACCTATGACTGTCTTCTGGAATTTCGACTTGTTTTCACTATTCCTTCCAAAATACAGTGTTGCCACAATAAAAAGTACAGCAATCAAAGGTATGAAAACGTGGATGCCTGAAGGATAAACAATGTTAAAAGAGTAAAGGAATTGCGAGATAGCATAGCTGTCAGAAAAGATTATGATGGGGAAAGAAAGAGCTCGGTGGCGGATACAGCGTCCACTGA